ACCCCTGCCACGCACCCCCCAAACATCCTCCAAGCCTTGGTGACATGAAGTAAGGGACGTGCAAGGGAAGCAAGAGAAATAATGACCCCGCAGGGCCATTCCCCAGGGACGGTTCCCGAGGGCTCTGTGCCAGGCAGCAAGCACCGATGTGTTCCAAGGAAATGCAGGAGGCAGGACACAAGGGACAGGTTTCGCTCTGGAAAGGTTGATGCAACACCACGTTGCAGGAGTCTCTTAATCCACCACTTAATCCAGCACCGGGAGCACAGCCTTTCAGGATACGCCGGGAGGAGATGGAGCTGCCGGGTGAGGTTAGAGCCCGCCGGCTGGAAAACCGTTTGTTTCCCAAGGTACCTGTCTCCTGCCTCCAGCACCAGCGTCAACCGCTCCCTGGGATTCTGCTGGATTGCAGCACTGCGGGGCGTACAGGGAGGAGAGGAGCAAAATGTGTCCGTTTTCTCGACAGGCTGGAAACCCTTCCAGGAGCCATCCCTTCCCAAACAATGCCCGAGGCTCCCGCCTTCGAAGGGAAATGCTCCCTCATGATGTGGCGTGGGAACTCTGCCCCACGGCCTGACCCCATTGTTTCGGCGCAAGAGCCCTGGAGCAGCTCCGCAGCGCACGCATCCTCGATCCGTCGGCGCTGCGGGGAGATTTTTGGACGGACAGGCGCCCGGGCTGGGAGCGACCTTGCTTCAGGGAATTAAACCGGAGAAATGAGTGTGAATTCAAGCACTTTCCGTGCACAGCAGCTCTGCAGAGCTCTCGGGGAGCTACAGGTTCAGTCTTAATTATGGGAATGCAAGAGACAAGGGAAAGGCTTGCTCACTGACAGCGGACGTTCACAGGAGCCAGCATCCAGCCCGCTGATGCCTGGTTTGACTCACCCTCCGCTGCTTTTCACGGCTCCTGTACCTAAAATCACAGGGAACACAACACAAATCCCTCTTGAAGGGGTGGAGAGCCCCCACTTCTCTCCTGGATGCCTGCAGGAGGCAGGGGCTGGGGTTACAGTTCCCACCCTGCTCATCCTCCCCAGAGCCAGAGCCAGGCTACGGGAAGCGGAGTGAGCGTCCCATGCCGAGGAGGATGCCAACCACCCTCCTCTCTGCTCCACAGTTACAAATCCAACATGGTTTATGACTGCTAGAGTTATTTTTATTGTTAAAAAGAAATCACACCACTTTTCCAGTTCACAACATGGGAGAAAACCACGGAATTGTGTTTGTTTCTGAAGGTAAACGGGTCAACAAAGAAGATTAAGACTGTAATTATACCCCAGTGGCACTCTGAAAGGGATATTAGGAATCATTTAATAGGCAAGAGGTTCAGTGAAAATGGGTTATTGAACAGGACTCAAAACACAGACAACTGAGCAGAGCAAAGGGCTGTACCTTCCAGAGCTGCGAGAAAAGCAGATTGCGGGATGCGCCTTAGGGGACTCTCACCGAGTGTCTGACAGGTCAGCTAAGGGCACAGCCTTCCACAGGCCTGCAGAGCTGCGGGCCTTCCACAGGGACACCCTGCCCAGGGTAGGATTCCCATCGCGCAGCCGTGTCCCGTTCAGAGCTCTGTCCGCGAGAGGACAAGGAGGGTTCTGCAGTTTGGGGCACGGCCTGGTTCATCAGGGCGGACGCCGACCCTGGCGTTCACTCCCCCAGTGCTTCTCGTGCCTGTTAACGTTCCTGGCGTGGATGGGGGGAAGCGTGGGAATATCCAGGTCTGCTCCGAAGCTGTACGTTCAGTTCGTGGAAGCTCCGGATGGGCGAGACAGGGTTTCTCCGAAGATTCACCGTCTGCTGCTTGACCTTGGCGTAACTTGAGAGCTCTCGGTGCTTCGGCCGCGGAACCCCGAAGCTGTGACTTCCTCGAGGAAGCTGCCAAGCAAAGCTGAGATTAGCGGAGACAAGGACCAATGCCTCCCTCATGCAGACAGACACACGGCCTGGCCTTCAGCCTCTGAACAACACCAACCTCAGAGCCAGGAAAACACCCGTCTCCTCCCCTGGTGTCCCCGGGATGGCGGGACTGAGTCACTCCGTCAGGTGTGGTGGCAAAGAGCCCTGCCCATAGCTGATCCAACAAAAAACCCCACCCAGAAGAGGGACCTCGGTCCCAACACGACGTTCCTTCCCCACCAGGCTCCCGTCAAACCCAGCAGCCCCCTCTCCAAGGAGGGAGCCTCCGAAAGAGCTGGCGCTGGGGCTAACTGTGTCCAGGCTGGCGCTGGGCTTAACCGTGTCCCCCCGCAGCCGAGGGACAACGGCAGGGTGGATGGCTCACCTCCTCCAGCAAGGGAGAACGGGGGGCACCACCCCAGACTGGGACAGCCACAGCAGACACTAATCCAAGAGGAAATAAGTGAATGGCAGCCTTGGAGAAGGCTCCCGTTTCGCAGCGACAGATCCTCCAGGATGAATTCAGAGAGGGAGAAGAAAGCGTAAAGCTACAGGACGGCCTTGACCTGGGCACCAAAATCTGGGGCTCCCAGCGTGGATCCCCAGGTTAACACCTTCACTGAACGTGGCCCGTCGTCCCGGCATCCTCCATCCCCGCCGGGAGGTCTCGTCTCTCCCTGTTCCACGAACCGTAAGGGCACTGCTCCTCGTGGGCTCAGCCCGCCCCGGCCCCTCTCGCCTCTCAGCAACAAAGCCAGGAAGGCCGGCAGCGTCCAGGTTTGTTTTTCTGCTCACGCTCAGTCTTCCTGTGTGGATGATAAGGCAGGAAGAGGCAGGGTGGAAACCTCCTGCTGAGCCATCCCTGACATTTCACGGCCAGGGCTTTCTGGAAAGCGGCCCTGTGAGCTGCCCGGGTCATGCTTCTGCCTCACTCCCCAGCTCCTGGGCCTCATCCCAGGGCTCACATCCACGGCAAGACCCTCCCTCCCATTCCCAGCTCCTCTAGACCACACTCAGTCTGAATAACGGGCCAGGCGGAAACCTCTGGGCTCTAACCATTCATTCCGATGCTTCTCAAGGAAGTTTTAACTCGATAAAACGCCGGTGTACATACTCAGCCTCATCCCGGTCTCTCTCCATATGATTTTCCAAGGACTGAGAGAAAGGCTGAGAGAGTTGGGGGGTTCAGCCTGGAGAAGGGAAGCTCTGGGGAGACCTCAGAGCCCATTCCAGTGCCTGGGGGGTACAAGAGAGCTGGGGGGGCTTTTCCCAAGGGCAGGGAGTGACAGGACAAGGGGTAACGGGTTTGAACGGAAAGAGGGAGATGGAGATGGGCCATCAGGAAGGAATTCTTCCCGCAGAGGGTGGGGAGCACTGGGACAGGTTCCCAGAGAAGCTGTGGATGCCCCATCCCTGGGAGTGTCCAAGGCCAGGCTGGATGAGGCTTGGAGCAACCTGGGCTATGGAAGGGGTCCCTGCCCATGGCAGGGGATTTTGGGGCTAGACCCCAAGGAACTTGCCAGTTTGAGTCTTATGTACAAGTCTGCCCTGTAATGTCAAGTGAACGGCCCAACCACGTGGCAGAGCACACTCCTGCCCTTCCACACAAAATCCAGACGACACCGCGTTCGGAGACACATTGAATAGAGCTGCTTCTCAACTCTAAAACTGTCCGGTGGGGATCAGCCGCTGGGCACTGGCCAACTGCAAAGGGAAAAAAGGTCGAAACAGGTAGCGAGCCCGTGGCAGTTAACGGCACGTCCAGGATCAGGAGGGCTGCGCTCCGTCTCCTGCTCTGGTTCAGATCCCAGGAAAGGCTAAACCTTGGAAACACGGTTGTTTAAACAGGTCTAAAAGTGGGTTAAGGTTTGAGACTAATTCAAACCTTTCAAGAGGAAAAAAAAAACCCCTTTGAACAAGTAACGTTCTCAAGCTCCTTGCGTTGTTTTCGTTTGATGAAAGGCCTTTACACGCCTCCCGCCCGGAGCACGGCCCAGAGAGGGGAGCGCTGGAGCAGGACCGCAGCCTGGAGCTAGTCCCAGGCTCACCAGCAAGCGCCAGCTCGCCCCTGCCCTTCGCTGCTGCTCCCCACCTCGATGCGACTGGCCCTGTCCGGAGCACGCACCGACCGGACCGTCCTCCCCGAAGCACTGACGCAGCTCCTGCCAGCGAACCTTCCTGCCGCACCCCTCCGCGTCCGTGGGAGAAGCCTCTGAAGCCGAAGGAGCCGTGAGGTGCAGAGCGAAGCGATGGCCCGTGGGCCTCGTGCCGACCGGTCTGCGCAGTTTGGGGGGCAGCTGAAGGCTGTGCGAAACCCCCAGCAACGCTCCCGCAGAAGATCCGATGAGGATACGTTACCAGGAGGATGGTTACTCTGGCAATGCGCTACCAGTGCCGAGGTTGACTCATTCCTTCAAGATGCTGAGCAAGTTGTCTGAACATTAATGCTTGAAAAATAAAAAATATAAAGAAACAAAAAGCAGGATATACCGAAAATCCTCCAAAAATGTGGCTCCCCTAGAAGAGGTCTCAGCTGGCTCTACCTGCCAAGGCGGTGAATCACAAGGGCTTCTAAAAACACAGTAAAGGAATAAAATCTCATGCAAATGCCTGCACCAGCCTCAGACCTCAAGACCGCAGCATTCAGAAATACGCAGCCGCTGATTTATCAGAGGTGTCCAGGAGCTGTGGTCATCCAGCTCTGCGGTTCCAGCCAGAGCTGTCCCTCCTCCAGCGTTATTTTTAGGCACTAGAGTCAGGCAGAGCGAGTTCTTCACAGAGAATGACTTGCTTTTCTTTTTAAAGGGGACTCCTGTTCACTTCCTATTGGGAGAGGAAGTTTGTGCGCGCGGAGAGGGAGATGCAGCCACACACCTTCGCTTTACGCTTCAGGAAGGTCTTAAAAGCGGGCGGCACCACAGCCTCGGAGCATCTCCTGCCCTGAAGGTGTAGGAGAGCCAAGCCCCTGCCCGCAGCGGAGGGGTGAGCCGGAGCAGGATGACAACACACCGGTTGTTAGTTCCCAGGACCCTGAGGATGCTGTGAGAAACGGCGTGAGCGCCACGTGCGGCGCTGGCAGCTACTCCGCCTCTGGGGGAGAAGGATCAAACCACACGGAGAACTTGGATGGATCTACTCCAAACCCTCCCTGCATAGCCAGCAGGAAGGGCGACGGGTCCAAACGCTGCTGACGTCGGCACGGGTATCCGGTGACCAGGCTGTGCCGGCGGAGCGCCCCGCCGCCGCGTTTGCCACAACCGGGATCTGGGTAAGTGGGTCAGGCTGGGTATCGTCCCCCTGGATTAGTCACAGCAGGTTGGTGCTTAACCTGGGCTCTGGGTGAGTCAGCTCCGTGCCAGATGTTCCTCCTGGCCTTGCTCTTCCATTGTTGGCCGATTAGTGACCATTTTTTAACCCTTTCTCCTCCAAACCCAGCAGAATTTTCTTGAAATCCATTTGCCTGCGCAGGGAAAGAAGGGAGCTGGTTGCCCGTGGGACTGGTGGTAAAACAGTTTGCTACCGGCAAGGAACCAGCTCCCTCACTTTGAATTTTCGTTGGGAAGCAGGGAAAGCCAGAGGCACTTCTCTCCAGCATCCCACCCAGAGAAGGAGCAGTTGGGAGGCGCTGCCAGCCCCGTCGGACGCCGGGATTTCTCCAGTTCGATGGCCGTCTTGGCTTCTCCCTCCCTGCCGCTGACTCCAAGAGCTCTTTGCATTTTGGGGTGAGCCCATGGCCCTCCACAAACGTTAGAGGGGAGAGCAACTGAACACCCACAGACTGAACTCCAGCCCAGTTTGGCCCAAATCACCTGGTTCCTGCGACGGTCAGTGTTAAGGAACGGCACCGCGTCAAGAAAGGCCTCTCCCTGACCCCATAAATATAATCTAACGCCGTGTTACAGGTGTGGTTGTGAAGAACCGACGATTAATAATCTCCAGCCTTTCAGCCCTTTCCCTGCAGCTCACTAAGCTGCAAGAAAACAACAGACAGGACGTCTTCGTTTAGCGCAGATCATCCCGGAACGCGTTGGGTTGGAAGGGACCACCCAGCCCAAGTGACCGAGTCCCCAGCAGGAGCGCGCCGGGGCAGAACCGCCTGAAATGGGCAGCGGTGGCACCTCCATCCCCCTGCGCCGGGCACGGCTCTGCAGTGAGCCGTCGCCACGGGAAAACGTGGCCGGGGAGGCTTCTTCACCTTTTTGACAAGTCCTAAGAGAAGTATTTTTAGTAGGGCTGCCAAAATTTCAGGGCAGAGGCAGCCAATCTGGTGTGATTAGAAAAACACTGACAATTCCTTGACACCACCACAGTGTTTTCCACCCCGCTGGCGTTCTGCAAAGCCTTTCCAAACACGTATCCGTGCTCCCCCCCGGAGCCACTGCGCGAGGGTTGCCTGTTAACGGGAGCGGAACGAAGTAAGCTGAGACGGGAGAGATTCACGGCCTCATCTCCACCAAAGCTGAGCGTGCACCAAAGAGATTTTCTGATCCTTGGATTTCTGCGTTCCTCTGCCTTTCATCACTTGACTTTTCAGCACCTCCCGCTGCTTTAATGCATTTCTTTCTCACATCTCGGGGTTGCAGCCGGGAACAGAAGATCCAAGGCACATTCCCAACCCTACCTCTGCCCGACCTGCCCATGGGTAACGTCAGGAAAGAGGCCAAGGCGGAGGTGTGCTACACGGATTTATCTGGTGGAGGTAGAGGAGGGGAGACAAGTAACAGCATTTTTCTCATACCTTGTAAAACCACTGGGATTGTTTCAAAGTGGGGAATAAACCCCAACAGTACAGCCTGTTAGCTTCTGCAGCCCGATTTATTTAGGAGGAATCCCCTAGACTACACGCCTCGCTTCAGGACACGAGCACTGTTCCTAGATGTGTGCCCCTGTTCTCCATCCACACGGATATGAACATCAGCTGGGGCGGGTTCTCCTGGATGTGACTGTGTAGCATAAGGAAACTTCAAAGAGGCACCTACTAAGCCCACTTCGAGACCCTCTTTGCAGCAGAATGAATCACAGAATCATGGGATGGTTTGGGTTGGAAGGGACCTCAAAAACCATCCAGTTCCAACCCCCCTGCCATGGGCAGGGACACCTTCCATAGCCCAGGTTGCTCCAAGCCTCATCCAGCCTGGCCTTGGACACTCCCAGGGATGGGCATCCACAGCTTCTCTGGGCAACCTGTCCCAGTGCTCCCCACCCTCTGCGGGAAGAATTCCTTCCCGCTGCACCATCCCCATCTCCCTCTTTCCGTTCAAACCCGTCCCCACTTGTCCTGTCACTCCCTGCCCTTGGGAAAAGCCCCCCCAGCTCTCTTGTAGCCCCCCCAGGCACTGGAAGGGGCTCTGAGGTCTCCCCGGAGCTTCCCTTCTCCAGGCTGAACCCCCCAACTCCCCCAGCCTGTCCCCAGGGCAGAGGGGCTCCAGCCCTCGGAGCATCTCCGGGGCCTCCTCTGGACTCGCTCCAACAGCTCCGTGTCCTCCTGCTGTTGGGGGCCCAGAGCTGGAGCAGAACTGCAGGGGGGTCTCCCCAGAGCGGAGCAGAGGGGGAGCATCCCCTCCCTCGCCCCCCTGGCCACGCTGCTCTGGATCCAGCCCGGGACGGGGTTGGCTTTCCGGGCCAACGCTGTACCTCTCATCCTTACACCCAGGATTGTTCACCCCCACACTTCAAAGCATCTACTCACAGTGGATTCACTGGGCAATGCAGATGGTCCCTTAAACAGATCAGCTTCCCGCAAATACACGGCTCTAACAACCACGTAACCAGCTCCGAAGGCTTGTTTGTCTCCTGCTTTGTAAAAAAGCAGAATGGATATCCCTTAAGCCTATCCCCCAACCCTATAAACCCAGATGTTGATCACAATTTCAGCTGGACTGGTAGGAACAACGAAAGGACGGGATTAGTGTGCTTACAGGGGCTGCTCAGCGCATTAATACAACCATCTCCTTGTTTATCGTGACATATCAACCCTAATCCAGCAGAAATAAGCAACAGCTCATTAAAGGAAGGCCAGCGGATTAGCGGAGGAGTTAGGACACAATGAAATCTAGGTTTCCTCACATCAGACCCCTCGTATGTCCCAAAATACCTGCGAGCCTCGTGCACTTCGTTAGCACGGGGGTTAACGGGCGGGGGATGGGAAGCTTCTTCGTTTCTCGGGTGCCCGGAGCGAGTCAGCTGCTCCTCTGCGTGCGGGAGCTCAGCAGCCCGGTCTTCCCTTGAGAGGTGCTCAAGATTCCTGACTCAGAAGGTCTAACCTTTTACCATTATTCCTGCGGCCTCTCATCGTTTTGGGAATCTGATTCAAGCCACTCCGGAAAAGCCAATTATTTGGGGTAGGGCTAATTTGGGGCCCCTTGGCAGTCCTCACCCCGTCGTTCCCAGACAGCACCTTGTAGGAATCCGCCCTTAAAAAGCAACAGCACGTTGGGGTTTTTTTCACTTCATTCTCTGAAATGCAAATTTTGATGGAGCATCCCAGTTTTTCTGTAACTAAGGCACAGGCTGCGCCAGATCGTCGTCGCGGCAGAAGCCCTAATTCCCTTACGTTGCTCCTTACAGCACGCATCTACGCGGAGCCCAGGGATGCTGAACTTCCTAAGACAGATGTGAGGGACGGTCCCCGCTTGGAGACCTCCTGGGGCACATGGACAAGATGTCAAAATCGGCCCCAGAAGGCACTGGTAGGTGACGAGGTTACGGGTGCCAGGCTGGACACGAACCAGGGGGTTTGAGTCTCTGCAAGATGTACTTAATGTCTCTCTTTTTATCACGCACAGCAGCTACGATGTCCGCTGATCCCTTTTTCTTACTGTTTCTAGGCTTGGCTCAAACAGGATTTAGTCCAAAGGCTACTTTGTAAAGCAGAAGGCCGAGGAAGCTGGGTAATTTGGGCAGGAATTGGTCGATATGTGGGCTAATACAGACTTGCCTTTGTAACCCAGTTCATAAAAGCAATTTACTCCGGGGTTTGCATCCGTCAGGGGCTTTTCCTGAGCTCCGGGAGACTGCTGAGGCACCCAGACTCGGAAATTCTAGTGGAAGGTGTCCGGGCCCACGGCAGGGGGGTTGGAACTTTAACGTCCCTTCCAACCTAAACCATTCTATGATTCAAAATTCCCCCCCAAACTCTGGGAAGCGTAACCTTTCCTCCCTGCATTTTGCTCGCGTTCCTACGTGAGGCTGGAGCGCTCTTCCCACCCCAGCTCAGGGTGCTCCCGTTAAGCTCAGAGCAGCTCCCGGACAACCAGCGACTCTCCCGGGACTTGTGTTTCCCCACAGTTCCTGCTGTGACCCACGGGAGAGATGTGGGT